ACTCAACAAAATATTAGCAAACCGAATTCAAAAATACATCAAGAAGATCATACACCATGACCAAGTGGTATTCATCCCAGGGATGCAAGGATAGTACAACATTCGAAAATCCATCAACATCATCCACCACATCAACAAAAAGAAGGACAAAAAACACATGATCATCTCCATAGATGCTGAAAAAGCATTCGACAAAATTCAACATCCGTTCGTGATAAAAACTCTCAACAAAATGGGCATAGAGGGGAAGTACCTCAACATAATAAGGGCTATATATGATAAACCCACAGCTAACATCATACTGAACAGCGAGAGGCTGAAAGCTTTTCCTCTGAGATCGGGAACAAAACAGGGATGCTCACTCTCCCCACTGTTATTCAACATAGTACTGGAGGTCCTAGCCATGGGAATCATACAAAACAAAGAAATACAAAAAATGCAGATGGGTAAAGAAGAAGTCAGACTGTCACTATTTGCAGATGACATGATATTGTACATAAAAAACCCTAAGGACTCCACTACAAAACTACTGGAACTAATACCGGAATTCAGCAAAGTTGCAGGATATAAAATTAACACACAAATCTGTAGGTTTCCTATACACTAACAATGAACTAATAGAAAGAGAAATCAGGAAAACAATTCCATTCACAGTAGCATCAAAAAGAATAAAATACCTAAGAATAAACCTAACAAAGGAAGTAAAAGACCTATACCCTGAAAACTACAAGACACTCAAGAGAAATTAAGGAGGTCACTAACAAATGGAAACTCATCCCATGCTCTGGCTAGGAAGAATTAATATCATCAAAATGGCCATCCTGCCCAAAGCAATATACAGATTCGATGCAATCCCTATCAAATTACCAACAACATTCTTCAATGAACTGGAACAAATAGTTCAAAAATTCATATGGAACTGCCAAAGACCCCGCATACCAAAGCAATCCTGAGAAGGAAGAATAAAGTGGGGGGATCTCGCTCCCCAACTTCAAGCTCTACTACAAAGCTACAAAGCCACAGTAATCAAGACAATTTGGTACTGGCACAAGAACAGAGCCACAGACCAGTGGAGCAGAGTAGAGACTCCAGACATTAACCCAAACATATATGGCCAATTAATATATGATAAAGGAGCCATGGACATACAGTGAGGAAATGACAGTCTCTTCAACAGATGATGCTAACAAAACTGGACAGCTACATGTAAGAGAATGAAACTGGATCACTGTCTAACCCCATACACAAAAGTAAATTTGAAATGTATCAAAGACCTGAATGTAAGTCATGAAACCATAAAACTCTTAGAAAAAAACATAGGCAAAAATCTCATGGACATAAACATGAGTGAATTCTTCATGAACGTATCTCCCCGGGCAAGGGAAACAAAGGCAAAAATGAACAAGTGGGACTTTATCTAGCTCAAAAGCTTCTGTACAGCAAAGGACACCATCAATAGAATGAAAAGGTACCCTACAGTATGGGAGAATATATTCATAAATGACAGATCTGATAAAGATTGACATCCAAAATATATAAAGAGCTCACACACCTCAACAAACAACAAATAATCCAATTAAAAAATGTGCAGAGGAGCTGAATAGACAGTTCTCTAAAGAAGAAATCCAGATGGCCAACAGGCACATGAAAAGATGCTCCACATCGCTAATCATCAGAGTAATGCAAATTAAAACCACATTTAAATATCACCTCACACCAGTAAGGATCGCCATCATCAAAAAGTCAAGCAACAACAAATGTTGGCCAGGTTGTGGAGAAAGGGGAACCCTCCTACACTGCTGGTGGGAATGTAAATTAGTTCAACCATTGTGAAAAGCCATATAGAGGTTCCTCAGAATGCTTAAAATAGAAATACCATTTGACCCAGGAATTCCACTTCTAGGAATTTACCCTACGAATGCAGGAATTCAGTTTGAAAAAGACAGATGCACCCCTATGTTTATCGCTGCACTATTTACAGTAGTCAAGATGTGGAAGCAACCTAAATGTCCATCAGTAGATAAATGTATAAAGAAGTGGTACATAGACACAATGGAATATTACTCAGCCATAAGAAAAAAACAGATCCTACCATTCGCAACATGGATAGAGCTAGAGGTTATTATGCTCAGTGAAATAAGCCTGGTGGAGAAAGACAAGTACCAAATGATTTCACTCATGTGGAGCATAAGAGCAAAGAAAAACTGAAAGAAGAAAACATCAGATTCACAGAACCCAAGAATGAACTAACCATTAGCAAAGGGAAAGGGACTGGGGCGGATGGGTGGGAAGGGAGGGATAAGGGTGGGGAAAAAGAAAGAGGGCATTACGGTTAGCATGTATAGTGCGTGGGGGGCATGGGGAGGTCTGTCCAACACAGAGAAGACAAGTAGTGATTTTACAGCATCTTACTTCGCAGATGGACAGTGACTGTGAAGGGGTATGTCGGGGGGACTTGGTGAAGGGGGGAGCCTAGTAAACATAATGTTCTCCATGTAGTTATAGATTAATGATACCAAAATAAAAAAATAAAAACATTAGGGATGAAGTCATACAAGGAAAATGTATAAAGAGAACAATGTTAAGTGGAGTCCTGGAGAAATTTTTTTAATTCATTTTATTATCATTAATCTAGTTACATGAAGAACATTATGGTTACTAGACTCCCCCCTTCACCAAGTGCCCCCCCCCAACAAATCCCATTACAGTCTCTGTCCATCAGCGTTGTAAGATGCTGTAGACTCACTACTTGTCTTCTCTGTGTTGCACATCCCTCACAATGCAGCCCCCCACATTATACATGCTAATCATAAGGCCCCCTTTCTTTTTCCCTGCCGTTATCCCTTCCTTCCCACCCCTCCTGCCCAGTCCCTTTCCCTTTGGTAACCGTTAGTCCATTGTTGGGTTCTGTGATTCTGCTGCTGTTTTGTTCCTTCAGTTTTCCTCTGGAGAAATTTTTAAGAGGGAAAAAAAGAATGTGGCTAATGAGTCAAGAAAGGAACCTGAAGCTAGTGGCCTCACAGAATTCCAGGGAGGAATCATTTCATTTCTCTTGTCTGTTGTTTTAGGATCAGAGCCCCTTTGAGGGATTCCTTATTAGATAATGAATACCTGGACTGAGAGGTCACTTAAATCTGCAGTGAGAGGTCACTTAAAAATTTTTATCTTTCATTAGAATACTGTATTTGAGTGACTTCTTATGTATTATAAAACTCTGTTAAGCACTTTTGTTTTATAGTCTTTTGGGCCAAAATCTGCTAATTCAGATCCAATTTAAATCTAGATGTCATATAATGTTATATTTTTATCCTACGATTTTGACTTATTTAGTCAAGCATAGTGAATATCATTGTTACAAGCTTAAATTTCTAGATCAAGAGTAAAACATTTTAATATTGAAACTCATACACAGCACTTCTTTTTCTTCCTTAGAAAATAGAGATCTTCAGGAAGTCAGCAGAAAAATAGAACAAATAAAAATTTTGTATTTTCAGTTGGCTGTTTTACCCTAATATTGTATTTAAAATTTTTTCAAACATACAAAGAATTGAAGGAATTATACCCACTAGCTACAATTAACATTTGCTCTATTTTCCTTACCATATTCTTGTATAAGTGTTTGTTCCTCTAGTCCTTTGTCAGTCCATCTCATTCATTTATTCTTTCATTCATTTTTTATGCATTTTCAGCAAGTTGGCTGGCTGTTTGGTCTTACCTTTGTTATTTTTGTCTGAGTGTTGTAATTAAAGTGCCAATACATTTTGTGCTGATTTATTTTTTCATGCAGTTGTTTTCTGCAGACCCTTTTTCCTATTTCTAGAAATCTAAGGTTGCCAATAATCACTGTCAAATTTAGAACATTAAGAAAACCTGGTGAACGGAGGGATAAGAGGGAAAAAGGGACATTACAATTAGCACACATAATGTAGGGGGGGCACGGGGAAGGCAGTACAACACAGAGAAGACAAGTAGTGATTCTATAACATCTTAGTGTGCTAATGGACAGTGACTGTAATGGGGTATGTAGTGGGGACTTGATAATGGCGGGAGTCTAGTAACCATAATGTTGCTCATGTAATTGTACATTAATGATAAAGAAAAAAGAAAGAAAAAGAAAACCTGGTAAATAGTGTTATAAGCCTGATTAGTGCTCTCTTTTTCAGTACCTTTATAATTCAGACTCTTAAAATTTTTAAAGTTATCAGAAGTTATTTCCAGTGGTCTTTTAACACTGTTTTTAGGTATTCTTAATAAGTATTTATTCACTTCACATTGTTTTCAGAGTGGAGAGATCTACAGACCAAGTCATCAAGCCAGTCAATGTGGGAGCTCTATCAAAATGGGTTGGGAAGATACCTCCAGATGTTTTACAAGACATGGCAGTGATTGCACCCATGCTTGCCAAACTTGGATACGACCCATATGCCAATCCACCTAACTATGGAAAACCTGATCCCAAAATCCTTGAAAACACTAGAAGGGTAAGTGAGATTTTTAAAGTGAATTGAGAAAACTGGATATGCAATTTGGGTCCTGAAAGTTTTTTCTTATTTTGTTTCTTGCTTTTTTTATGATCAGAAAAGTATTTTAAATTAGAAAAATTCTATTTGTAGAATACTTTATCATTAGGAATCTTCGGCTGCATTTTAAGGATAACTATGGTTCTTCCTAGGAACTGTGAGGACAGTTCTTTAATCTGTTTTGCCCAATTCTTTGAAATGTTGGAGATTTATTTTCATAGATAATTGCCACAGATTTTCATGAACACCAGAATTATTCATGACCTCACTTCTACTTCCTTTTCTCTTTGAATCTAATGACTACTTTTAAACCTTTGTTTAGGTGAGGCATGATTTTTTGATACTTGAAAACTAAACATTGAAGTATAATTACAGCCTTTTCTTTTCATAAGTTATACTCACATCTTTATAAAATACTGTTTGAGAAAAGCTGAAAACTCAAAGAACTAATCTGAAAATACATATATTTCAAATTAGACCTTAATGTATTATTTTTTTATTGTGGTAAAATATGCATAAGATTTACTACTGTAACAATTTACAACTACAGTTCGGTAGCATTAAGTACATTTGTATTGTTGTGCAACTGTCACCACCATCCATCTCCAGAATATTTTCATTTTTCCAAATTGAAACTACATACCCATTATCCATTCCCTCTCCATCCAGCCCCTGGCAACTACAAATTCTACTTTTTGTCTATAGTTGTATTCTTTCTTTCTTTAAATTTATTGAAGTATCACTGATACACAGTCTTATATTGGCTTCAAATATACAACATAGTGGCTCAACAGTTACCCATATTATTAAATCCTCACCCCTACTGTGTCGTTACCATCTGCCAACATAGAAAGATGTTACAGAATCATTGACTGTACTACTATCCCCATGACCAACTTACATTATGAAAGAGAGTTTTTATGCCCCTTTATCCCCCTCACCCACCCCAGCCACCCATCCAACCTCTCTCTCCCCCGTGGTAACCACTAGTCACTTCTCAGTGTCTATTAGTCTACTACTGTTTTGTTCTTGTGTTTTGCTTTCTTTTTATATTCTACAAATAAGTGAAATCATGTGGTATTTTTCTTTCCTTGGCATATTTCACTGAGCATAATATCCTCTAGATCCATCCATGTTATTGCAAATGACAGTATTTCTTTTCTTTTTATGACTGAATAATATTCCATTCCATATATATACCACCTCTTCTTTATCCATTCATCTAATGATGTACACTTAGGTTGCTTCCATATCTTGGCTATTATAAATAATGTGGCAATAAACATAGGGGTGCATATGTCTTTTTGAATCAGGGTTTTTGTTTTCTTCAGGTAAATTCTCACAAGTGGAATTACTGGGTCAAATGGTATTTCTATTTGTACTTTTTTGAGGACCTTCCATACTGCTTTCCACAGCAGTTGCACCATTTTACATTCCTACCAACAATGTAGGAGGGTTCCCATTTCTCCACTCACCAACACTTGTTATTTTTCCTTTGGATAATGGCCATTCTGGCTGGTGTGAGGTGATGTCATTACAGTTATGATTTGTATTTCCCTGATGATTAGTGATGTTGGCCTTCTGTGTGTCTTCTTTGGAGAAATGTCTGTTCAGATTCAGGTCCTCCACCCATTTTTTAATTGGTGTTTTTTGGTGTTGAGGCAAGTGAGTTCTTGATATATTTTGGATGTTAACCCCTTATCAGATGAATCATTTACAGATATGTTCTCCCATACTGTAGATTGCATCTTTGTTCTGCTGATGGTGTCCTTTGCTGTACAGAAGCTGTTTAATTTGATGAAGTCCCATTTGTTAATTTTTAATTTTGTGAGATTTGATTTTTTGAGAGCCTCCCTCTACCTACCTGCCAGGCAGCAAATTCTGATGCTGCTGTGCCTAGTGAGCTAGTGGTGGTGGTGTGCAGGAAAGTGCCTGAGGACTGAACCATCAGCAAGGGGGATGGAGTGTCTGGGGCTACTGAGAGTGCCCAACCTCTTGGGCCGAGGGAGGGCTGGGGAGGTATCATACACCTGTCCTTTCTCCTGTGGAGAAAACTCCATCTGATCCCCATTCCTCTGGCTCCCTTTCCACTGCTGGCAAGTCTTTCAAACTACCACTCTGCTTTGGGTCTCAGTGGGACCATCAGAACATGCCTGTCCTCCACAAGTGGCTGGAGTCTCAGCCTCCCAGAGTGTTGCAACTGTCCCTGGTGTCCAGCTGTGCTAATCATCAGAATCCACTGCAATGTGGACTTGTGCTCCTGAAGTAGACAGATCTTCAGGGCCAGGTGTGCAGAGTTCCTGAGCACGTATCCCTTCCCCGCTGTGTTCCTCTTTCACCCTGTGGGCTGGAATGGGGAAAGGCTTGGGTCCCGCTCTGTCTTGTCTCTGCCACTTTACCGTTTTCTGTGTAGGCTTCTCTCCTTTCCCAGGAGGTGTAGGAGGTCTGTCCTGTAGTCTTCAGGTCATTTTTAGGTTTTAGTTGTATTTGCTGTAGTTTCTTTCTTGCGTGTGTGGGAAGGTGTTTCTGCCTTGCCTTCCTATTTTGTCATCTTTCCCCCCTGCCAAAGGCTCTGATGTATTCTTTTTTTTTCAAACTACAGTTAAAACAAGAAAATTTGTTAGCACAAGTTCATTGACAGACCGTTTGATTTCAAGATTAAAATTCCTTGCCTTCCTCTGGTATTCTATTTTATGTCAGTGTTGTCCCCTCCCCACAACCTTATATCATCTCTTTATTCTGTCCTCCTTTGAATCCTTTAATTGACATACATATTCATGAGGTTAATTACCACATGGAGTTTTTTCTTTTAGACATTACTTTCATTTTTCTTTTTCAATTAATTAGTGGCTATATAGGAAGAGCTATCTTCTGGTAAACCATCATATATGAAGGCAAATTTTTTTATTTTTAAAAAAATCTTTTTCATATTTGCATATGTACAAACATTTAAAGTTAAACACATAGTATAAAGCTTATAAAATTGTAAAGATGAGAGATTAAAATTGACCTATAATGTTACCATACAGACATACCATTCTTAATATTTTGATGAATTTCCCCTTCTAGAGAAGAATTGTTGTTTAAGGTAAGTTTATATAATCTTATGTTTTGCACATACAAATTTTTTATTCATAAGCATTTTCCCATTGTGCGCATGCTTTTTAAACATAATTTTTCATTGTTTATGCAATATATCATCAATATATCATCACACCAGCCACCTTAAATCCTTTTTGAAACACAGTAGTGAATGAATGAATGAAAAAAACAAAATATATTTTTCCCTAGTATATGTTCTGTAATCCATTTTACTATTTTTCTTTTGTTCACAATTTTCTTTTTGACAAATTGTATTACAATGAAGAGCTTTGCACATACGACATTTTAGTTTCTGTTTTTAAAGGTTATACTAATGAAACGAGTTAAACTGGGTCAAAATATATGAAATTTTTTAAAGGTGTTTGATGTATGTTGATAAATTGTTTGTATTTTAATGTTTTTAACTACCAGTCTAATATAGGTAATTTTATTTTAGATTTTTGCTGATTTTAATAGATTTCACTGATTAATATAATTGAACATTTTCCAGTTATTACCTATACATATGCATTCTTTTGTGAACCGTCTCTTAAGTTTTAAAGAAGTTTCATATATTAAAATTTTGTGAACTACATTCTGCTAAAGATGAAGTACACACAAGTCTAATATCCATTATCAGAGTTGGATAATCTCTTGGTAATTGGTAACTCATAGCTTTCTCCTCTGTACAATAATGAATTGTTTTGTATAAACCAAGATACATGTACAAATGATATTTAGAGGTTTCCCAGGCAGTAGATAGACATTATAGTTTTCGTACATGCAGGTTGGGTAGCTAGTTCATTCTTGGCTTACTTGAGTGGTAGGTTGGAAAGAATGCTGTGGTTCAAAACCATGTGACTAGAGAATATGTTTCACACACATTTTTGGCTTTTGAAAAGGTTTCAAAATGCACACAGAAAAAAGAAAGCCCTTTTACCCCATCTCTATCTCTAACATGACAAATAATTTTGAGGAAAAAAAATAAAGTATGAACTATAATTACATTTTTGAGCACTTTATGGTAATGGATAAACTGACATTCTTGTTTTGTGGGGTTGGGTTTTATTTTTTGCCTGTAAAAATTCAGGTGTTACTATACCCAGCATTGATGATGATGAAGTTTCACAAAGTAATGCTTAAAAAGTGTTCTTCAGTTATCAGCTCTGAATGAGATGGGTTCCAGAGGTAGAAGGAGGCTGGGGAGATTGTCCCCTTTATTTATGGGATGGGAATGGGAAAAAATTCACATTTAGACTGGGAATAAGCCTAAAAGTACTGGTTTTCATACAATTCTTGGTAGTCTAGAACTAATGGTGTCTGAGTCAGCATATTTTGGGAACACATTGCCCTAATTGTGAATAGAAAATCATGTGCTTCGTGGCTGCTGTGACTCAGATGGTAAGTAAATTGGAAATGAAATGCTAACATATCCCATACCTTTCCCACCACAGAGTTTCTAATCCCAAAACTGTCACACATTTCAGTAAATAATACCACTTAGATTGCATCCTTAGCCTTCTCCCTCCCCCATAAGTTTTCAGTGTTTTGGGATTTACCAACCTGATTGAAAATCCAATGAAACTTATGTTTCCCTACCTCAGAAATACAGACACATCCATACACAGAATTTTACCAACCATTTCAGTGGATTTGTAGATGTCCCTGAAGCTCATCACATTAAAGAGGGTCTCCATTATCAAGATAACCCACTCATGTGGCTTTGATTCCAACTTATTTCCTGATGATCATAAATCTGTATCTTCTAGTGGATCTCTTTCCTGAGTCCCAAGCCCCTTAGTTTCAACTGCCTTCTGTATATTTCCACCTAGTGCTCACAAGGACCTCAAAATAAGTGTCCAAAGTTGGATTTATTATCC